ACACCCCGTTTTCCCCATCCGGCACCTCTCGGCAGCCGGCGGCGCCTTTACGGGGCCGTAATAGAAACCGCCATCACACCCCGGCGCTCACGGCTTAATTACACCTTTTTTTTTTTCTCCTTAGGTGACAACTCACCGCTGCTGTTGAAGCAGAAGAATTACAGCGAGGGAATTAAGCCCCTAATTAAATGATTTTGTGGGAAGATGGCTGCACCGGGGTGTCGTGGTGTTCCCCGCCCCCCCTCGCACTCACCCAGGTGCTCGGCGAGCTGGCGGCCCTTCTCTGAGGAGACGACGCGCTCGTCCTCCATGTCACACTTGTTCCCCACCAGCAGGACCTGAGCGTTGTCCCAGGAGTAGGTCTTGATCTGGGTGGACCTTCAGGGAAGGCAAAGAGGGGAAATCCCTCGGGGGGAGCAAAGCACAGCATGGGGGGGATGTCCCAGAAGAAGCGGGGGGGGGACAGTTTGGGGAGAGGGGTTGGTCCCCGAAGCCCCGCTTGGGTGCTCACCAGTCCTGCACGGCGTTGAAGGACTCCTCGTTGGTGATGTCGTACATCAGGATGAAGCCCATGGCGCCGCGGTAGTAGGCGGTGGTGATGGTGCGGTACCGCTCCTGGCCGGCGGTGTCCTGGGTTGTGGAGGGGAGTGGGGGGGAGAGCAGCACGTCACCCCCGGGGACACCGGCGGCTTGCAGGGTCTGGCCACCCTTTGGGGTGCTCTGGTAGAGAGCAGGGTCCCCAGAGACACGTCCCTCCACACCAGCATCACCCCCGGCATCGGCAAACGGCGGAGCAGCCCTACACCAACCATCCCCCCGACCCCGCCATGCCACGCACCCCTGTGCCAGCGTGGGGACCGACAGGGACACCCCGCGGGGTCTCACCCAGATTTGCAGCTTGATGCGTTTGTCGTTCCGGTAGATGGTCTTGACCTTGAAGTCGATGCCGACGGTGCTGACGAAGGCGGGCGTGAAGGAGTCGTCGGCGTACCGGAAGAGGAAGGATGTTTTCCCCACGCTGCTGTTGCCGATGATCAGGATCTTGAACATATAGTCGAAGTTCTGATCCGAGGATTCCTTCTGCCCATAGCGGGAGTCGGTAGCGGACGCCATCTGCAAGGCAGAGGAGAGGCCGTGATGGGGAACGGCATGGGGGACAGTCACAAACTCACGCGATGCCGTGGTCCGGCGACGTTTCCCACCGGTGCGCTCACGGTTAAATCATATTTTGATTTGGGATGGGTGAGCAATGCCGAGGGTGAGGCGCGTTGCCACCGGCGGGGTCACTCGGCCCTGAAGGGCTCTGCCAGGTCAGCTCCCGTCACCCCCAGCGCGGGGACAAGGAGAAGGCGCCCACAGCACATGTGGGGTGCGCAGACCCCGGTGTTTGGCGTCACCCTGGATGGGGGGAGGGGGGGGGTCCATGACCCTCCGGCAGGGGTGCAGATGGCGGCCGGAGCGCTGTGACCGTTCCTGCATCTCCCCTGCAAAATGGCACCTGCAGCGGTGCCCAGCCTGGGCGCCCTGTGCGGCTGGGGGGGGCACTGGGTGATGGGGAGGTGC